AATGAATATGCTTTACTATAATCCAACGTTTTCTCAGTTAAGAGGCGTTCCTGCATTGCTTCATCATTAATTCCACAAACCAAACGATCCTCAACTGCACCTCCCAATCAGTATACTCACAGGTTGATGCAGGTCTCTTTAAATCAGAAACATAATCTGAAACACCTTCAATAGGCTGTCTATTTCTGATATTGAATCCTCGTCTTTGCACCATGACATTCGGTTTCGGGTGATGGTATAATTGCATCAATTTGACCAAAGCAGAAAATGAATGGTCCCCTGGCTTCCCGGGAGACGCCAGATTTTTCAAAAGTTTTTAAGCTTTAGCACCTACATTGCAAATTAGGATTGCACGCTTCCTACTTCTTTCAGTTATTTCGTTAGCTTCGAAATAAAACTCGAGTCTCTCGATATATTCACCCCAATCATCTTTATCTAGGTCATGTTCATCTACCTTCCCGAACGCCGCCATGTTGATTCACTGATGAAAACACTCACGACGCCGACTATCCCCGAAGAGCCGATACGGGAATAACTCACAGCAGAGAGGTTTCATACGTCCATAAAAGTTTTCCTCGTCGCCAATATATGTGGTAACTCCACATAACAAACACTGTCAGTCTTTAGAACAGTGTATATAGTTCATAAGGTTGGCGTGCACATTTGCTGGATCACCGGAATGATCGCCATGCTGTTACAAGAGAGAGCATACATTGTATTTGAATGTTCGACTTACGTTAGGGAGCGAGATCTATTACACCGACTTTAGGTCGAGATTCCAAAAACGGTGCTGTTTGACTTTTAACTTTTCTTACAGATGTTCTACGTTCTGACAGCCATGCGCTTGTGTTACCATGAGTTTAAGAAATTCATAAATAAAGGTCTTGAGCGCTGCTGCTGTCATGTTTGCACACAACAGCAAGAACAGTTTGTTCACACGTACGCTTAGAAACGCTAACAATGCCCATGTTTTGGCATATATCAATATTCATGCGCAACCAGATTTGTAACCGGTTTCGGTTTGGTAAGTTTAAAAAACGAAAGTTGTTTACCTCCACTTAAATACTTATTTAATGTGGGTAATAAATATTATACAACCCACTCTCATTGGATACCTTTCCAACTGACCCGTGAAAATCCGGGGTAGAATAGGTCTTCAGCAACCCAGGCTTGCCGTAAAAGGCGACCATGCTTGTCGTAAGAGGCGACTAACGGGCTCGGGTTGTCAGGTTCGCTGACTTGGTTGATGCATGCCATCGATTCCAATTGCGTGGTTCGATGCTCATCATATCAATCACCGGATTGTCTGGTCCAGATTCGATTATATACAGACCGCCGTCATAGAGCTTGAATATTGCTAAAAAACCAACCAACCTTTCTAACAAAACTGTCTATGGTATTGACCTTGCTTTCTCTTGGTCAGATACCATAGATAATCCGCGAGTTTCGTGGAATTGGTATCTAATGACTGGCTTGTTCTTCACCTGTACATCCTTAAAGTCAGTTCCTGGTGTTATGTGCTAGCTGTCATAGCACAGCCCAAGAACCTGCACTGAAGGACCAGTAGGGCGAGAGACAATCAGGCTAATATGGATGTTGTAGTTTGATTCAGAAACTCAGACCTTGAAGCAGAAAATGATAACCGTAGGCCCATCTAGACCCATCTTCACAGCACGTGATCTTGGAGTGCGACGACAGCTGCCGTTGGCATAAACACGTGGTGGTCGCTGCCTTGCAGGTCGACCATTGAGAAATTATGAACTTTTTCATGTTTTGTTATCGATATAATTGGCTATTTTCTGGGAGGTATTTTTATTCACGTTTAATGATTGTGCTGTGCTCCACACAATGCAGTTGGTGTAGCAGCCTCTGTGGTTTGGACTAGGAAGGCAAGTTGAACTGTAATACATGAAAAAAGGTTTTCATCCAATTTACACCTCTATTAAGCGTTCAGATTTTGTTGTCATTGGATGTCAAATCCAAGTGTTTATTTAACGAAATCCGGCATTTATACAATAGAATTCGTGACATGTGGGCTGATGTTATTAGAGGAAATGTTGAAAGCGGATTGTCGTAGGAGTTTGCTCAGCGCAATGAGGGGCTATGCGTGTGTGTGTGTGTGTGTGTGGGGGGGGGGGGGGGGAGTTTGCGGATTGAGGGGCTGTGTGCGCGTGCGCGCTTGTGTGTGTGTGTATGTGGGGGGGGGGGGGGGGGGGGGGGGGTTGCGGCACGAGGGCTCCTGGGATGGGTACAATATGAATAGAAGTAAGAATAACATATGTATGTTTGTGTGTATCGGACCCGTGACGTTCCAGGCTAGAGTAGGTCTTCAGGAACCGATGCTTGCCGTAAAAGGCGACCATGCTTGTCGTAAGAGGCGACTTACGGGATCAGGTGGTCAGTCTCGCGGACTTGATTGATGCATGTCATCGTATCCCAATTGCGCGGATCGATGTTAATGATATCAATCACTGGATTGTCCGGTCCAGACTCGATTATTTAGAGACCGCCGTCACATAGCATCAACCACATCATCAAACCTGACCATCCGATCGCGTTAGTCGCCTCTTACGACAAGCATAGTCGCCTCTTACGACAAGCATAGTCGCCTCTTACGACAAGCATAGTCGCCTCTTACGACAAGCATTAGCAATTCTTACCCGGATCTTTCGGGGTGCCTCAGTTATCTTCGTGATAACAACTCAGCGACTTTTGGAATCTGTTTCGTCGGACCTTCGAGACTGGCTATTCTCTGGCGTTGACGTTTTACACTAACTGAAATAAATACATGTACCTAACAACATCTGAGATACAGAAGCAAGTCGCCTGTAGTCCCGGATGATAGTGAACCGGCCACACACCCACCTGGGGGCTTGATGGACCTATAGCTCTCTATTTTAATAGACTTGACCACACCGCCATCATCACTGGACATACCCCTGGGAAAAGCGGGAAATCAAATTACATTTTCTTAATCAAATCTTAACATTCTACCAGCATTGGCTATTCAACCTGTTAGTAGGTTAATCCAAAAGGGAAATGAACCTGCGATGTATTTTTTATGGGGTAATCTGAATGTTGATAAATAGTCGATAGTTTATAGGTATAGTTGACTACTGCATCAAGACACATCGGCTATCTTAGTGGATATTAGTTCGACTACAGGTAATTTGCTGTGGTCTTCTTGCAACGTGTGGTATTTACAATAGACTGGAATGAGCTAGCATTAAGGACGAGCTTCTTCCACAGGTTCCGGTTTACAGGAAGGATGAAGTGGCGTCTTGTATTCGCTGCGGTTAGAGTAATTCAGAGGATGGGGTTAGGGTGGAGATAAGGGTCGTTAAAAAGCAACAAGGGTTTGCCACTAACGTGGCTATATCCCTCGCACCTGTTGCAGAATTTATGACATAATTAAATCTAAACAAGCCCTAACCTTTTTTAACCGAGATGGAACTTGTCATGGAAAATTGTGAAAAAAAGAAGAGTTTGGAACCTAAGTCCATCTTGTTGCCATGGAAACGTAAAAAATAAAAATTTCTACAATTTCTAAATAGCAAAAGGCACCAGTTAAGCATGTACCTGACAGACATGCAAAGTTTCATGAAAAAATGTAGAACGGTTTATTGAGTTATGCTCCGGAAACGAAACGTGACGGACGGACGGAGCCCGTTTCTATAGCCCCCACCAACTTTGTTGGGCGGGGGATAATAACTAGTGGGAGTGATGTTTGGGTGGTCGAGTGGTGAGGAGACGGTAGGTAGTGATGGAGGGGCGACAGAACTGACGAACATCTACCGTGATGTGGAGGTTAGGGTTGAATGGGGTTTAACATCGCATTCTGACTCCGAGCCGACAAGTCCTTGTTTTAGCCCCTTAATTCCGACCGCCATGCAGGGTAACAAGTATCACATTTTAACGTCTTTTGGTGTGGCACAAACTGGGGATCGAACCCCGGACCTTCCGCTATCCGGGCGGACGCTCTTCCACTAGACCACACAGGCGGTCACATTGATGTAGAATAAGTATGGGTCTTGTGGTGGGGGGAAGTAAGAATTGGTGGATGGGAGATAACGTGATCCCACAGGGAGGGAGGCAGTACAGATGAGGCGGATTTATAGTAGGGGCATGAATGTGACGTGTCGGGGGAATGGTTGTGAGAGTCTATTAGAAGAGATGAGAATGGATTGCGGCGATGAAAGAGAAGACGGTGGGGTGAATATGGCGGTAAGGTTGAAGCTTTGAAGCGGACGATGGGTTGTGGGGAAACGGATGATGGGGTGTGGGGAGGCAGACGATGGGATGTGGGGAGGCGGATGATGGGATGTGGGGAGGCGGATGTCGGGATGTGGGGAGGCGGATGATGGGATGTGGGGAGGCAGATGATGGGGTGTGGGGAGGCAGATGATGGGATGTGGGGAGGCGGATGATGGGATGTGGGGAGGCAGATGATGGGGTGTGGGGAGGCAGATGATGGGGTGTGGGGAGGCAGATGATGGGGTGTGGGGAGGCAGATGATGGGATGTGGGGAGGCAGATGATGGGATGTGGGGAGGCAGATGATGGGGTGTGGGGAGGCAGATGATGGGATGTGGGGAGGCAGATAATGGGGTGTGGGGAGGCAGATGATGGGATGTGGGGAGGCAGATGATGGGGTGTGGGGAGGCGGATGATGGGGTGTGGGGAGGCAGATGATGGGATGTGGGGAAGCGGATGATGGGATGTGGGGAGGCGGATGATGGGATGTGGGGAGGCAGATGATGGGATGTGGGGAGGCAGATGATGGGGTGTGGGGAGGCGGATGATGGGATGTGGGGAAGCAGATGATGGGATGTGGGGAAGCGGATGTCGGGATGTGGGGAGGCGGATGATGGGATGTGGGGAGGCAGATGATGGGGTGTGGGGAGGCAGATGATGGGGTGTGGGGAGGCAGATGATGGGATGTGGGGAGGCAGATGATGGGATGTGGGGAGGCAGATGATGGGATGTGGGGAGGCAGATGAGGAGGCGAGAGGAAAGAAGACGAGGAAGATGAGGAGGATGAGAGGAAAGAAGACGAGGAAGATGAGGAGGATGAGAGGAAAGAAGACGAGGAAAATGAGGAGGATGAGGGAGATGAGAAGGAAGATGAGGAGAAGGAAGATAAGGAGGATGAGGAGAAGGAGGAGGAGCGGGGGGAATTATGATGTCAACAAGTGATTGTTACCTGTCGTTATTATTTTTTTATAAATCGTGAAACACATTGCATCAACCAGTAACATTTGCACCTAGGCAAGCCTGCCTACGGTTTCAAGCATGTCACCTGAGTCAAACTCAATAACATAACGCCAACGCTAGAATACAATCGCCCCTGCTCATCCGACGAAACAAGTTCAAGTGGGTGCAACAGGCAAAACAGCAGAGAAAAACACACGAATAGCCAACCAATAATCAGTGATGACACCAGGTGTTCGCGAAAAGGGTAAACATGTCCTGCCTTACCTGTATCTCCCACCACTCGCACAATTTGAATAAAAATGTAAGTGCTATTTCTCGCCTGATGCCAACCAACCATCTCACAACCAAACAATGGTAAATAGCCGCCATCGGATCGAAATAAACTTCCCAGTCATCAAATAACACAAGCAAAAAATGACAAAAATATCATCTAGCTGGCAGTCATCTGATAATTTTCGAAAAATTGAAAACTATTCAGTTTCACTGAAACATCAGGGGTAAATGTCAAGATAACAGACCGCCACAAGAACTTGCTCTCTTCAATGAATGCATTATTTCTAAACCTCTTTATCGTAAAAGCAAGGTGCCCAACATTTGAATATATATTTCCACATTTGCTACTGACTCTATATGTGCTAAATATATTAGAAAGGATATCTTTGTCTCCAGTAGTTCAATATTCCTTGACTGTCTCAGCTCGTTGTCAGAAACAAGATAATAATGCTGTAAATAGGATAACTAATCGTATCTGCGAATGCAGCTTTTATCTTTAGTGAAGCACTGTTGGGGTAATTGACAAACAACTCCCCATTGCTGAAAAATATGGGCGCGTTTTAACAATGGAATGACGTCACAGATGTGTTTTAATCTTTTGTATTGGATTCCCATGGGCAAGCTCCATAAAATACACGCAAAGAGAGATATATTTCAGGATCCATCAAATGTACCACCAAATCCCTGTGACAAAGACATAACCAAATTCCTTAAAACAATCAAGGAAGGACTTGGCGAACTCCTGGTGTCATCTGTGATTTTCAGTGATCTATTCGTATAATTTTTATCGCGTTATTACTTTTGCTCCCAAAGGATTTTACTTCAGCAGATAATTGAGACTGATTATTCTCTGGCTTTGGCGTTTTATGTTTCTCTACGTCCGAAGAGAGATATTTGAAAGGAGGAATTAATACCAGGTGGATTCTCAAAAAAGGATTTGTTTGAATTTTGGCAACCAAGTTAAATTCTGTCAAATCATTTGGTTTTTTTGTCATCGCTATGCACAACACTATCTCACACGAGTGAAGGGAAAACTTAATTCCTTGATCCATGGGGCATTTGTAACAAGACATGGTGATGATGGCTATACATGTACTTACAACTCAATTTTCAAAGGTTTGGCACAGTATGTAAATAATTATAACAAATTAAATTTATTGAGAAAGCAATATGTGAACAGCTGGTTTTCCAGATAGATACCATGTGAAAGTTTTGGGAAAGAACAGTTATGGAAATAGTAGGCATTCTAATGTAATACATTCTTCGTTCTTGTACATATATTCGTCTCATAAATTGCAACTCTTACCAGTGAGATACCTATCTATTTGAGGCCATGAAAGAGATCCCCAAACAACTTTATGTAAATTTTGATGTTTATCTCATAAATTGAATGTTCAGAAGATATTAGCAGTAATACTAAAACAGAATAATCGTTTAGTATAAACTTCTTCTTTTTCTTCTTCTTCTTCGTCTTCTTCTCTTTCAGAGTTACAACCGACCACCCCAAAGAATGTGTGACTTCATCTTTCCAACAGTCAACTTTCCTCTTATGGCGAGTAATATTCCAGCAGCTCCAAACTTGAGTGTCTCCATTTCACAAACTTTCCAGTGACAATCGAACATTCTCTTTCAATAAAGATTTCAAAAGGCGGCGACCCGTGAAGATCCAGGGTAGGATATATCTTCAGCAACCCATGCTTGCCGTAAAAGGCAACTATACTTGGCGTAAGAGGCGACTAACGGGATTGGGTGGTCAGGTTCGCTGTCTTGGATGAAGCATGTCATCGATCCAGATTGCATGGATCGATGCTCATGATGTCAATCACTGGATTATCTGATCAAGACTCGATTATTTAGAGACCTCGTCAAATAGCTGGAATATTGCTGAGTGCGGCGTAAAACAACAAACCAATCCAAAAAATCAAAAGGCGGCTCTTGCTCATGTCTGATTAGGGTGATCGAATTCCTGGCCTTTGTAAAGCTTCCAAAAAGTCTCAGGGTCAACATGTGGAGGACATCTTCAAGTTTGACTCATCAGTGACAATAATGATGTCCGATGCAATTCCCTTTTTTAACTTGTACCATATGTTCCCGTGTTTTTTAAGGTGAATACTTGACTTGTATTGCATGTGTTTGTGACGGGTGTCACCGGTGGACTGAATACCCTTACCTTTTTGCTGACACTTGGTATTACATATTCATAGTGTTTCATAAACACATGTTTGTGATCTAGTCGGACTCGTATAATGGCTTTTAGGGTATTTCCACTTTTACTTGCAGGTTCCAATGGCTTTCGGCATTGTGTGAAATTAAAAAATATATTTTTTGTGTTCGACAATCAATTTTTATCGGTCTACCGACTGGGGTTCATTTTTATATTCAACTTGCTGAGGTAAATACTTTGTTAATTGGCAGGCTTGAAGCCCCATGATGATCATATGCCAGAAGTCTTTATACTGACACACTGTTGTCGAAAAGATCACACAGGAGAGCATCATCACGTTTCAGATGTGGTGTAATCCCTATTCGTGTTGAAACGGGGCGTTATGATGGAACCTTTTACGTGAGAGAGTCTGTCTATTTTGTAAAAATGTTGTTGAGGATGAATGTCATATCGTATTAAACTGTCCGTTATTTGCCTTTGTTGAGGATGAATGTCATATCGTATTAAACTGTACGTTATTTGCCTGAGAAAGACTCCTGTTATTCAACAAAAGTGATGAATATAATTTTAAAAATTAAATCATTTGCAAAAATTACCTTATATATTATCCAACCTCGATGTATGCCTTCTTACTGACCAAACCTGCCATTTAATACTTTTAAAGCGAAAATCTTCTATATATGGCCGTTAATAACTTGTTAGTATATATGTATAACTTTTAACAAGTTTGTTTGTTGTTTAACGCCACATTCAGCAATATTCCAGCTATGTGACGGCGTCTGAAAATAATAGAGTCTGGACCAGACAATCAAGTGATCATGAGCATTGATCTACGCAATTGGGATACGAAGACATGTATCAAGCAAGCCTGCAAGCAGATCCCGTTAGTCGCCTCATACGACACGCAGCGTCGCCTCTGACGGCAAGCATGGGTATTTCACACAGTTGCTGAATACCTATTCCATACACGGATCTTCACGTGTCTGGAACATCAATAATGTATTGTAGGAGAATGCATGTCGATAGTCAACAACAGGCCGACAATTCAATGAAAGCTGTCGTGAATGGCAAACATACCAAGACAACAACCGAATACGTGGGCGATTGAGACACGTAACAGGCATACTACGAGATTGTGAAAATTTGATTCTTGTATGACCAAGGCTTTGTATTATCCATGAGTAATACCAGCTCGTCAAATGCGGGAAAATTGATGAAAATTGATGATGTTATTCATTTGGACAAAATATATACGGAGGTCTATTTACCAGTCAAAACACACGCACACGGTGCATTGTTGTCGCTATAACAACGTCATGCATATTTTATCCATATCGCCTCCGGTAGAAGCTATCTCACCTGCAGCGATCGTTATGATGGCATGTTGCCGTCAGCAGACGTACCCGACAAAGCCGAGACAACCGAGAGATGGTTTCCAATAGTCAACTTTCCCTTAATGTCGAGTCCAAGCCTTTTGTGTCAAGATTTGACATTGTTTGAGGTACAATCGAACATGCTTTTTCTAAGAAAATGTCAAAGAGCGTCATACGACTCGTGCTCATGGGGTCTTTAGTCGGGGTCACATATGTCAAGGTCATGGTAGGCGTTCAAGGGTTTATGGTAGGTATGTGGAGGACAATTTTTAAGTTGGACGCAGCAGTGACCAAAGTGATGTCCGATACAATTTCCCTATATCCCTTGTTTATTTTTTTGGATCATTGGCTTGCCTTTGCATGTGTTTGTGACTGGTGCCACCTGTTTGCGAACACCTGTTATCATCAATATCATGTGGCAACACTTGCACATAATCTATTCGGAATCGTACAAACGACTCGTATGATTATGGAAAGTTATTTTTTGCTTTTATTTGATTAATAGAAAAAGAAGTACTATTATTATTGCTGCTACTACTACTACTACTACTACTACTACTACTACTACTACTACTACTACTACTGCTGCTACTAATTCAACTTCTAATCCTTCTAATGCTATTAATACTAAATATTATTATTATTATTTCACTTTTAATCCTACTAATGCTATTAATACTAATTATTATTATTATTATAATTTTTTTACTATTTATAGTCAACTTACACATGCAACTAAATATATTAAAAATGTGAACGCAGACAAACGCTTTGATGTCCTGTAGATGGAATGAAGATGCTAATACCCGTGAAGATCCGGGGTAGAATAGGTCTTCAGCAACACATGCTGGCCGTAACGGGCGACTATGCTTGTTGTAAGAGGCGACTAACGGGATCGGGTTGTCAAGCTCGCTGACTTGGTTGATGCATGTCATCGTATCCCAATTGCTTGGTTCGATGCTCATGATGTCAATCACTGGATTGTCTGATTCAGACTCGATTATTCACAGAATACAGCTAGGATATTGCTGAGTGCGGCGTTAAACCACAAACAAACAAACGAAGAGTAAGTATATGCGTCCTAAGATTCATAGCATGGAAAATGAATTTCAATTTTTGTAATTGTGACATTATTTTTAGTCTCCACTTGTGAGTGCGG